AAACCCCCCCTGTTTAACCCCCCAGTACTTTGTTGGCATGATGCTCATGGGCCACATGCATAACCTGATGTCAGTGCAGGACTTTGACAAAGTCAGGATGTTGATGTGGCTTTTTGGCATCATAATACCTCATTGGTCAACCATCAGAAGGAGTAGGGCCAATATCAGGACCATGTTGAACATGGACTTGATCTACCGCCTCAGCATATTTGATAACAAGTGTTATTCTTTAAGCTTACGGCGGACAATTGCCATGGCAGGTCCAATGAGATTACTTTCAACTTGGAGGGAATGATGCTAATTTTCAGATTATTGTTTGTTATTTTTCATTCACAGGAGATGAGCAACCCAATTGTTCACAAACACATGGATTTCTACCCTGAGGACCCCAAAGGGTATAATATCTATAAGCTCAGTCAAAGTTACAAGTGGCGGGCCAATTTTCCAGAGGACATCCGTGTGCAAATGGTAGTTGTCCGGTCTAAACATTTTTACGTTTTTGAACCAATAGAATTGGCATCTGGGAAAATCTTCATCCCAGTGTACTTCTACACCTATAAAGGCGAACTTTACTCCAAATGTGTGATGCCAAAAACTAGGACTACTAGGGATGACCGGGGCCTCACTCACAACTACCTCACAATTCCCCACCATATGCCATTTGAATCAGCTGACTTGGTGGCCATTCCATGTGAACAGTTTGCAAAGATATATTCTGAAATTATCATGCCGGGGGGGATCCCTTGTGCCAGATGGTGTGAGAATGCAATCTGGGGTTAGTAGGGTTCATTACAGCCTTGATTGGTCAGTTTGGGAACTGACCTGCATGACTTACAATGTTTACAGGAGCAAAGACTGGGAAAACCACCAAATTTCCCCTCCCTAACCCTTGGCATGTCAGAGCCAATGGCAGGATTATCAGACATGTGCCAATCACTTTGTACGCGGATGATACATCCGGGAACCGCTCAAAGCAGTGGAATAAGCATATTTCGTATTATTACACACTTTCTGGCCTACCACCTAACATGACAAACCAAAACTATAATTGCCACTTTTTGGCGACTTCAAACACTGCTGGCGCATTGGAATTAGCAGATCAAATTGTGGATGAGCTAAAGTAAGTGGAGTCAGCAGGCTTGCTTGTGAATGTGTGATGATTATGCATGGACATCCATACTGACTTCTAAAACCAGCCTGCTTGCTACAGAAGGTTTCACTGCTTTTGACGCTGGGTTGAACCAAGAAGTATTGGTGATGACCATGGCCCTATGTTTTCTGGGGGATTCCCCCATGCACGCCGAGATTGCCAACACACCAATGCCCTCCATATCTTTGAACCCATGCCGGATGTGCACTTTGTCTGCCCCAGGAAAGGATTGCAAGTCCACTCATGAATATGTGAATGACTTCTTGGGCAAAGATGAACACGGTGATAAGGTGAGAGGAATTCCACATCACTCAGTGTACTGAATGACCCAACTGACAGACAAAATCTACATCCACATGGTTAGGTGCCTTTTGTGCCTCGTCGGTGGGAGGAAACCATTCAAAACACCCATGCCCTTTGGGAAATTGGAATGACCCGATCCAAGAAGTTGTTTGACAGCCAATCTATTGAATATGGAGTGCGAGATGTGGTGAATAGGGCCTGCCTCATGATCATTAAGGATAGAAAAGCTTCCAAGACCAAGAAGGCAGTCATCCGCAAGATGCATAAAGAGAAATCTCTCAAATTGTTCAATCCCTTCCTCAGGCTCAAAGGTCAGTGATCTAGCACCAGCTTTGCGCCAATGAAACACAGCAATTACTGAACCAGTCATGGCTTGTGTCCTTCAGGATTTGATGGGTGCAAAGACACACCTGTTGAGATCTTACATGTATTCCTGTTAGGTGTCGTCAAATATCTACTGCGGGACTTCATGACCACAACGATTAAACCCAAGCACCTTCCACAGTTGATTGCGTCTTGGGATTCCTTTATAGTTCAACCATTGGAATTAGGCCAAATTCAGGGAAAGTATTTTGTGAAGCATTACAAGAGCTTAGTTGGCAAACACTTCCGGATTGTTTTGCAAGTAGCTCCTTTTGTGCTATTCCAGTTCATGAATGAAGACCAGAGGGAGCTTTGGAGCGCAATGTGTGAATTATCCCCACTCATATTTCAAACAACCATCCTCGATATGGAGCTGTACCTCAAGACCCTTCAAGAGAAACTGGATAACTTCATGTATCTATTGATCATGATGTCGGCCCAATGGGTCAACAAACCCAAATTTCACATGTTGTTACACCTGCCCGATTCCATCAGGCGATTTGGCCCTGCAAGTCTGGTTGCAACAGAGAAGTTTGAGAGTTTCAATGGCCTATTACGAAATGCCTCAGTGCACTCCAATCGCCATTCTCCAGGAAGGGACTTGGCCATCAGCTTTGCAAATTATGAATGCATGAGAGCCCTAGGATCCGGGGGGGATCTATTCAATTACATTGAAAATAGATACTTTCGACCCTCCCCACAGGTTACAGAAATGTTCAAAGACCGTATGATCCAAAAGGCCATGGGGTACAATGAACAACTAGCAAACAAGAGCACAACCATCATAGCGAGTTATCCCACCAAGAAGGCACCCCCAATCTCAATTCCTCAGTATCTCCAGGATACATACCCAAACAAGACCTTTGAAGTGGTAATCACCCTCCACTTGGATTCACACACAGTCCTCAAGAGAAACACCTTTGTCCAGGTGAATCCAAAATATCATGATTCCAAACAACCTTATCAAATAAAGCTGATGAATTATTCAAATTCATATGCACAGGTCAAATCATCAGAATCTTCAACCACCAAAAGGATAGCCAGAATCAACTCCATGTGGCATGTTAGATCCCCAACCTCAAGTGGATATGTGATAAGTGTCACCTGGTTCAAGCTCTTGGGAACATCTGAGTTCTACAAAATGCGCATAATCGCCAGTACCCATGTAATGGCTGATATATTTACTAAAGTGAGCATGCCATAGTCCAATGTGAACTTCTTGCCTCATATCTGATTTTTCCTCTGTTTCACATTCCCAAGGATATCCAAGCAACACTTAATGTGCAACACAACTGTCATGAAGCACAATGTCAATTCAAGAAAAGGGAGAGAAACATTGCCAACTATCAGGAAGGTGACCCAGGCCTAAGCTATGAAACCATCCACAATAATCACAATAGTTTCATCTTAAACAGCACATCTCTGCATGCGCCAGTGAACCACCTATATTTAGCAGACCTTGAACATTACGAACCCACCCCAAGCCAATGGGTTGGGGCCATTCAAGTGGGCCTGGACAAGTGGAATGTGGGACCCAACAAGGGGAAAGGAGTGGCTGCCATTCAAGACATGAACCCAGACCATGCCATGGGAGGTGTTGAACAACACAACACCCCTGAACCTCAGGGTAGTACCCAATCTCATACTTGGGGTAGCAATAGTCCTGGATCACATAGGGGAATAGGAAACACCAATCAAACAACCACAACCACCCCAAATCTCACCAATGTCAATCCCAACCTTCAGATTGGGACCAATTCCCAATCAAACTATGCATCAGAATCATTTACCCCCAATTACCAGTCAAGAGGTGATTTATACCAGCAACAAACCCCAGGTACACAACAACCAGCCAGTCACCAAAGCAGTAGAATATATGAGCATACAACCACCCCAACCACCCAATCTCAGGGGCCATCCTTCATACATCATCATCGCAGTAACTCACTATCCCAAAGACCAGTAGGGTGGGGTGTACCCCAAGGACACATACCCCATACTCCACATCAGCATCACCTGCCATATCCCATGCAAGACCAGCGGCCAATGCAACGGACAACCAGCAGTTCATCCTTACATAATCAATACAGACAACATGACATGAATTATCCATCACATGTTCCCAATATGTATTATTCACCAGGATCAAATTCCCATTATCCACAAGGCTCAAGTCATTATCCAAACCAAGGTTCAAGCTCAAGCCACCAGCCACAATTCAGAAGTATGGTTCCACCAGGCTCATATTACCATCCACCAAGCACAACTTTCCAAACCCCAAACCAATCATCAAACAACTCATTATACAGTTTCCCAGACCCAGCCAATCTACAACCCCCAAATTACCAATAATCCTCAATATGTAGATTCTTGAATTAGACAGAATTATGGTATCTCACTGCTGGATTTATGTTGAATCTTGTACATTATTGGAGTCTAATTAGAACTATCTTTTTAACAACAACTCATGTCTCTGTGATTGATCTCTTCCTTTTTATTTCTTTTTCTATTTCATTATTTGATTTGTGGCAGAGTCCATGTTTTGTCATGTTTAATAATATGGTTCTTTCACTCTTCTTCTGCAAGCCTCTCCCAAAATAGGACTTGAACATTTTTTTGTCCATGTATATACAGTCACCAATGGTTAATAACACAACATACCACTGCACAATCTACCTCTTAGAAATTGCTTTCCATGACATTATATTTAATGGAATTTGACCTCTGAGATATCATTTCTAGTATGTAATGTACCCCAAACACCACTCATTGACTCCAGCACAACAAAACACAGACTAAGTTGAATTCATGCCACAACAAAACACAGAAGTAGTAAATTTCTTTTATGAGCACTCCCAAACACAGAAGTATTTTCTGGGCACAGCAGAACACACGCGCAACATACGTATGTGACAAAAACAACATGAACCACTTTTGAGCACCACCAGAGATTTAGTTAAGTTGGATAGGGGTAGTCTATCTACGACCGACCCGATGATAAGACCTATACTTCAGGAGACAAAGAAGGGGGGCGCTCAATTCTACCGTAATCGCTGGATTGCCAAGAGCTTGGGGGACCATCCAACATCACCAGGCCCGGAGATGATGATTGACGACGATGAACCGTGTTGGATACCCAAGAACTCGGGGGCCCATCCAACATCACAACGCCCGCAGAAGATGACAGACGACGTCCACTGGCGACCACAGCGGTCGTGTGATCAGAGTCAGCGGCCACCGCGCTGTTCTGGCTGGAGGGTGGGCCTTCGACCGCCCGTTCCTCGGAGTTTGAACCAGTAGAGAACGGCGGCTCCATGCCAGAGGATGATCGCGCCGAGCTTGAATGATAAGACGGGCGATGCCACCGAGCTGAAAGACGACGATGGGGTCTCAATGACCCAGCTGGAAGCGGAATTGTGGACCGGCTCGAGAGTCGAACCGCGGGAGATGACACGGCTGCCCGGACGCATCACTTCCAGAACAATACACTCCTCCGACGGCGGTGGGGGAGCCCCATTAGGCTCAAATCGGGTCCAGACCTCATCGGGCCATCGATGCGGAATCCTGGTCCACTAGGGAGCATAGGAGACAGAGTTAGTTAGCGAGTCAGCAACATGCAACATCGCAACTCGCAAAAGCAAAAAATAAGACAAGGGCAAACTAACGTAGAGGGGGTTGCCAAGTCTTTGCATCGGATCTTCCATGAACAACCTCAAGTGGCACTTCTTTGGGCGCACCGCGTTTGCCGCCATGCGGGCGTATTGATTGAAATTTCGGGCGACATCGATTTTCCGAGTGGCAATAGGACCGCCAGGCCAGTTCCTGTAACCGCGCCATTGGATTTTACGATTGGATTCCGCCGCAACTAAAACCCGAGTGAAGTCGAAATCAGAACGAGTCGCGCCAACCAATTCTAAGACACTGCGCTTGAAGTCCCAAATCGACATGTGCTTGAATGGGACCTCGCAAGGAGGGAAGGGTTCGACGTCCGGATCGTCGCTAGTGAGACACTCGTGGTGATACTTCCAATTCTCGGGCGTGCGGGGATCTTCCGCATGTCTCGCATACCGAGGCGTGCCATCAGGGAATAGGATTTCATGCTCGACCCAAACTTGGTACGAGATGTAGATTATAGGGTATCTTTTCCGCGGTGCAGGTGGCGATGTGGGCGGAGGAATGACCTCTTCATGTGCATCTTGGCCGGTATCAGACATCGTGTCGTAGTAGGTCGGATTTGTTTGATGAGAGGCTTTGAGGTCCACTAGTGATGATACGTATGGAAATCTTTAAAGACCGCGAAGTGACCCCCACAACTCAACACGCCTCCAATGCCGGCAGGCCTTGGGCGGAGGAAACGTCGTCATCATGATGCTCAACCCAAGTCTCAACTGACGACAGTACCAACGTCGGAGAATGCTTCGACACCTTGACGGTCTCCGACACAGGTCAAGAGCAGGTCATACACGCAGGCGTCACAGCGACAGACGAATGTCTGACAATTGACCGGCGGCCCGCCCTCGCGTTGACTCAGTTGCCCCCAAAGTCAGTCCGACTGGCATGCATGAGGCGGACTGACGGGTGGCAGTGCGTCAGAAGGCCTGAGGTCACGCCGCCAGTGTTGGGCACATCGGCAGATGAGAGTCATCCAACACTGGGTCAAGACAACCCATGTATGTCCGGCAATTGACCGGCAGACCCACGCTAGTGTGACCGTGTTGACCCGGCGGTCAGGTGGCCGCAAGGAATCCTGCATTACATGCGGCTGCCCGACCGTCGGGTCAACTCAACCGTCGGCCGACGGGCAGATGCACGACGGCCCGACTGAACAGTCGGGAAATCTATTGACGTCGGAGGTTTGGCCCGGGGCAGCTTAAACTGCTCTGGTGGTGTACACTCTTTTGGTTTGTTCACATTCCATACAGCTCTGTATGTGGGGAGTCGACGCATGAATTCTCATGTGTTTCTGTATGTTGTATGTTGGACAGTGTACACAATTGGGTGATTCATGTGATCTGATAAAGAAAATGTGCTACATACATAGTCTACAAAAATGTATGGAGCCACTTCTGGCCAATTCATAGGGAATGGGAGTATGTACTCTAGTGAGATGAGTGATCACATGTATGATCTGAAGAACTGATTCTTGAAAATAAAAAAAATATCATCCAAATCACAATTGTTGCCAAAACCCATGTCAATAAATCCAGCCAAACCAAGAAAGCTTGTGGCAGAATATGAAAAAAAGAAACAGAAAAACTTTGGGCTGCAGTTGGAAGTGTTGGAAGAATACAGACCCAAGAATGCCCATTACAGCTATTTCGGAAAGGGTTGTCCACTTGGACTCGCGATTTTTTTTTTTTTGAAATTTTTTAAAGTTTTCTTTGTACTGAACTACAGCCGAGGAGGTACAGCTGTCATCCGTAGTTCAGTTCTGACAGGTCCAGTTCAGTAAAAAAATAAAAAATAAAAAAAATAAAAAAATGAATAAGAATTCGCGAGTCCAAGTGGACAACCCTTTCCGAAATAGCTGTAATTGCATACAGGGATTGTCTTTGATTGAATTTGCTATATCTTTTTCCTCCCTCATGTCCAGGCCTTGGGATCCTGGTGGGAATTTTGTGAAAATAGAAAGAAAAAATAAAGTTTAAAAGTCTAACAGATTTGAACAATGGTGGGCCACTAGACTAACTGTAGTGGTTAGCACAACGTAACATAGTGGAATTCCACTAAGCTTTAGCGTAGCGTAGCAGATTTCCACCACATCCACGCTAACACTACACATGCATACACTGCGCTGGTTAGCGGCATTTTGGCCCTTTAGTGGCCATTAGTGGCTCATGGCAAAAAAAACACTAATTTTTTGCTCACACTACACAATTTTGGTGCAGGCAAAAAAAACACTACACTGACACTTTTTGGGCAAAAAGTGTAGTGGCCCATGATCACAATATAACTGTGAGGCCCTATCTGTAACTATAAACGCTAGTGGCTATGAAGTGAAGCAAACAGTCATCAAGGCTAGAGCCTAGATGTTCCTCTGGATCACTGGTCAAATGTTCATCCAGAGGGAAAAACCATCACCTCTATGATCAGTTTGAACTCACCAACAAGTTTTACAAAAAAAATCTTGATGACCAGTTGGACCATGGTCATCAAAATAAGACTACGCACTCCTCTTGATGGCTGGATCCACCTTTCCCCAAGATGAGTGAGTGGTCCTCTTGATGACCAGCTGGTTTGGTTGTTTGGAGGGATGTGTATTCCTTTCAACAGCTGGTTGATCTTGCCTCCAATATTCAAGATGATCCCATCTTGATTATCAGAGGAACCATGGAAGACACTGATCAAGAACCAGTTGTTGACCAATGGAGAGTGTACATAGCAAAACTTACAAACAGGGCACAGGAGGAGATGATTCATGGAGAGCGGGTGATTACATTTTTTTTGAGTCTTTTGCCCACAGGTTTGAGTCCCAGATAGAAATTCTTGCATGAGATATAGCAAAATAGCTGTTTCTGACGTTGAAGGAAATTGGCAGAGAGTAGAGATACAGTATCTTGGATATTTCCAATCCAAGATGTTGTGAGTGTGACCTCCAAACAGCAAAACCAATCTCAACAATATCTCATTGACTTGAGATACTGTAATTTTAAATTATCTGAAGTTTTGCAGGGGGCCATGAGATGATGAGATACACTCAAGATACTGGTTGTGGGCCAAACAACCCCTAATCTTTTCTGCCTTGAAATTTCCAAATAACTCAATTTTTCTGGTTGTTTATTTGAATTTTGGTGTTCTATTCATTAAAAAACTGAAGCCATATATGAATTTTCCCATTCAATTTGAATACCTCTATTAAAATAGTAACACACACACAAGGTAAATTTTGCCATGTTACAGGTCAATTTACATGATTGCACTCATTTGACCAGGTCCTGATCCAAATTATAACTTTATTTCTACAGGATGAGTCACTGTCATATTTGGCTTTGAGGAAATGGTAAACTGGTTGTATATTATTATTCAACATAGCCCCAATTTACAATGACATAACATAGCCTATTAGTACAAGGGAGGAATTCCTGTTCCTGTATAAATAAAGTTGTTACCCTAGACCTCCATGCAGGATTCTCTGTGCCAGTATGATGCAATTTTGACAAGCTGGAAGGAATTCTGGAAAAAACTAGAGATTGACAGAAGTAAATGTATATTTTCAACAATTAGTCAAATTTGTTGAACTATGCAGTTATTTTTTCACATTCTCTGATTATTTTCTACTGTATTCATTACATAGCTTTTATCTTAGACTTGAGCTGCATTTCTTTCTGAATACTAGTTGATGTATTTACAGCTACCACTCATTTTTGTAAAGGTTTTCTTAATCAATCAAATTCTTTTATTCAACAACTCATTGCTTTCATCACTAACACCAAACTCTTTTAGGTTTGTTTCTCTGTCATCTATTTCATTTTATCTATATAGCCTTAAATTGTTGTTGTTTCAGGTTTGTAATTTCAGGTTATTGTTAGTTGTGTTGTATAGATGCACTAAAGATCACTTTTATCTCTAAAGGTTTGTGATTATAGGTCAATGTTAATTGTATGCGAGTTTGAGATAAAATAAAGGGGGTTGATAAGTGCACGCCAACCCCCATGGCGCACGCCAATCTGCACGCCAAGCGCAGATTGGCGTGCGCGCCTGCACGCCAATCTGCTGCTGGGTAGATTGGCCTGCAGTTGGCGTGCAGGCCTGCACGCCAAACTGGGTCCTAAACCCATATGTATATGGGTTTAGGACCGGGGCTATCCCATAGGACCCAGGCTTGGGTCCTAGGGGATAGCCCAGAGTTAAATTTTTTAATTTTTTTTTTCAAGAAAAAAAAAATGCTTGAGGCTG